AAAGTTCTGTTCTAGGTCCTATTCTATTCCTGATCTATACATCTGAGGTACTAAAGATAATAGAATCATTTGGTTTTTCAGGTCATGCTTTTGCGGACGACTTACAAATTATTGTTACGAGCAGACCAGATTCTTTTAAATCAGAATTGGACAAATTGGTTAAATGTTTGTCTAGGGTCAATAAGTGGATGCAAAACAATGGTCTAAAACTAAACTAAAACAAGACTGTTTTTTTACCAATCGGAACATGGCAGGAACTCTCAAGAATAGACATAGATTCAATAACTGTTAATGATGAGGGCATCCCATTTTGTCAGACAGCAGCTAGTCTGGGCTTCATAATTGATTCAGGTTTGTCAATGAAACAACACATTAAGAAGCTCTCAGCCGAATGCATGTTTCAAATCAGGAAAATCAATCAAATTCGATGATCCCTAGATACATTAACGTTGCAGACGTTGGTTCATGCATTTGTGCACTCACGCGTCGACTATTGCAACAGTTTGTTTTATGATTTACCTGATCTATCCATGACTGTGCTGCAGTCAATACAGAATCGAGCCGCAAAAGTTGTTGTTGGAGCTCTAAAATACGACCATGTGTCTCCAATATTGAAGGAACTTCATTGGCTAACCGTCGACAAAAGAGTGTTGTTCAAAATTTCAACACTTGTCTACAAGTCTATCAACGGTTTAGCTCCATCTTATTTGTCTGACAGGTTCGAAAAAAGATCTTCAAAGGCATCTGGAGCACACTTGAGATCTGATGTTTCAAACCTGCTGCTGATCCCAACAACAAGTCTCCGTATAGGCTCTCGTAATATTGCTGTTTCTGGACCAACTGTTTGGAACGACCTGCCTGCTGCTCTCAGAAATCCGGACCTAAACCTGCGTGATTTCAAGAAAAAACTGAAAACTTGTAATTGTAATGCATTATTGATCAATTCTTTCTGTTTGGTCGACATGTTCTAAATATTATTTCGTATTTTCGTTATATTGAATCGATTACTTTTTCTGTTTATGACCAAACTTTAATCTTAATTCTGTACGATGCATTATGATTTTTCGTTTTTTATTTCTCAATTATGTTGTTAAGTTCAGTTTTTGTTAGATAAATATTATATATATATATATATATATATATATATATTTCATTAACATTGATACATTTTTCTCCTATTAACAATTTTATTTTATTCTTATTCTAATTTATTCTCGTTGCGTTATCACTGAGAAGCTATTTCGAGTTGCACGGTGACCGAGCCCACAAGAATTAATTTTCTTTTTTTGGTCTCCAAATCATTCATGCTTTTTTGTTTTGTTTGTTTGAATAAAGGTGATTTGAAGGGATTTAATTTGACATATATAAGTTGAAAAGAATTGTTGACAAATTTGCCCCTTTGCGTGTGATTTATGACTTAGGTAAGCGCATGGCACTTTGGTTCGACGATGATTGCCGACAGACTAAACCAATCTGCAGACAGATGGAAAGGTCTTACAGAAGATCTGGACTTTCATTGCAGTTATTAGAGAAAGAAATGAAAATCTTGTTATTTTCTGTTAAACTGTGAAATTTTTGACTTTATTAATTTTCGTTTTTCATATATAGATTTGCACATTACGTTTCATGATACGTAATTTTCAGATATATGTACATTTTGTTTTTAAATGTGAGCGCTCTTTCTTTGCACTCATCTTCATTTCTAGCAAAAATTTTTTGAGAACTCTCAGAGTTTTAGTTGCAAATGAATTAATTCCATAATTAAAGTTATACCAGAAACTTGAAAAAATAATTTAAAGCTTTCTTTTATAATTTTTAAAACAGTTGGCAAAACTCAAATTAAAACGTTATAATTGAAACAAAAAATTCTTTATTTCTTACTTATATAGATTATATAAGATTCAGCAATTGCTGGTTTCGTTGGGATTATAGTTGGTAGATATTGTATAGTTGATGGTACTGCTTTTGTTGGCATTGTTGGGATTTCTAAATTTCTTAGTTGGGGTGACTCAGTGATGATGCTGGTTGTGTGAGTTGTTGAGGTCTTTGTGGTTGATGTTGAAGTTGTTGAAGGTGTTGCCGTTGTGGCGGCTGAAGTGCTTGCACTTGTGGTATCAAACAGTTTTGTGTCTGTAAATGTTCGTGAGTTGAAAACTTAAATTTGTTTGGCGATATAAAAGACCAATAACACAATGAAACAATGCGTAAATTTATTGTTATGTAAAAACATTTAATTGGCCATTTTTAAGAATTCATTCAATAAAACACTCAACAGAGTATTTTATTATTAATATAATTGGATTTCTGAAAATTAGGAGGCACAGACTGACCGGCGACTTGCACTCTGACGCTGTGGAACATGCTTCTAAGACCATTGTTAACATTTACTGTAAGAACAAAACTGGAAAAAGAGCAGTTGATGTCCAAACGTGTTTTGTCTATGGAATCTTTTATGAAAACACCATTTATGTACCATTCTGTGTGCCAGGCTGTAGATGAGTCGGTTGCTGTTGGCTGTGGTGATGAGAAAAATAAGATGGTTTCGTGATCTGAAGGGTTGAACATTGGCGGCGATGATGACAACGTGAGGGTTGTTAATGATGTAGATTTGGAAAGAGATGGAGAGAACGAAGGTGAGGGCGAGACACCATCGCAAATGAAGGAGACGATGTGGTTGTGTGGCACGACGATGCTGGATGTGTTGAATCCACAGGATGGAAACCCTGCAACAAAAAAAATTTTTTTTTTAGGTTTTCAATTGTCATTGTAGGTAAGAAGAAGCAGACTATCAATAAATTTGTTATTTTTATTATCAACTTTATTGAAACTGATTTACTTGGACCTTTTTTCAGCATTAGCATACTCAGTTTTAAACATTGACATCTAATTAATTATTACAAACACGAAGCACTACCAACAGGTAATCAAAACTAGCCAAGCCAACATTGAGAGTATTTCTTACTACAGTAGTCCAAATCTCTCGCTTATGTGCTATATTTTTGTTAATTTAAACATTACTTTCTTTCAACTGAACATGAACAAATGCAATGGACAGAGCAGCTTGGAACATACTTCTGACAGTCAGCATTGTGACTCTCCCTTTTTTGGCCTCGGCTTCGGCGCTGCTGTCCACCAGGACGCATTTGTAGGCGCCGCTTTGGTGAAGTTGAATTCTGTTGATGTTGAGGTAACAACTGCTGGCTACTTTGTTGCTGATGGGATGGGAGGAGCGAACGACGTAAGAGATGTTGCCCGATGTCACTTCCCACTTCACTGGCTCTGCTAGTCGGCTGGTTCAGGGAAACATATTCAAACTAACATTGAATGTAAGTGAAGAAATAACCAACAAAACATTAGATTTAGATCTGACACCGAAGTTGAAGTGTGATCATTTTTAATCAATCAATACAGGACACAGGTATGTCGGTCCGCTTCTGATCATGCGTGCGTGTGTGTTGTGTGTGTTTTTTTTATGTATATTTGCAATGTGTTTATGGGTGCTGTACTTCTGAGATAGATATTACTGTTTACACAATTTTTATTTTTCACGTGTTTTTATAAAATCCAGCACAATTTTGCAGTAAAAATCAAAAGTTTTCTAATTTATTTACAACACAAAATTATTTTTTTCAAACAGCTAGCTTTTGACCATACAAAAAATTTTTTTAAATAAAAACTCGTTGCTGCTTTTTTTAATAGTTTTTTTTATACGTTTAAAGATTATTAGAATGAAATAACTAATGACAAAAATCAAGTAAAATTTTTAACATTTCATTGAGCATTCACTAACAATCGTTCCAAAAATCATAAAAAAGTAATCGTTCATTAATTCATTTCCTATGCCGAAATAACAATCATGATAACTTGGCTTATGAAATGAGGAGGTAATGAGATGATCCCCTAAAATATGAACCAACTTGTTTAAAAAGTAGATACACTCGAGACTGACATTGGAGTTTTCTTCGACCACCATGTCTGCAGACTGATACACCAGGTGAGGTGTACTCGACGCTTGAAACGCTGATCAATTTTTACATCAATTGAAGATAAAATATAATTTATTTTAATAAATATAATTTATAAAATATAATTTATCTAAAAATATTTTTAGATTTATTTTCATAATAAATAAACAGCAAACATAAATTCCCTGACGTGGATTGGAGAACCGGAAGGTAAACAATTTAACTGTTGAATTATTGAGGATGTGATTATTTCTGCACTGGTACGTGTTGCGAGTCTTGCTTGATAGGGCTAGCAGGACCACTGAAGAGCGTGCTGTCCGGTGAATAGATGTTCAAAAAAGCAATAATCTCGCACAAGCAACACTTAATAAAATGTAGCAAGCGATCATGTTCAACAAAGAGGTCAAATAAATTAACAACAGCTGATTGAGCAAACCAACAATTGACTAAGTAGATGTTGTCGTCGGTTTGAATCATTTCTGGAATGCAGATCTTGCTTGGTGTTGGAGGGCAGGACAGGATGTGAAAGCCTCCTTCCGATCCTTTCACTAACTCTCTTGCATCGGTTGAGTGGCAGGAGGCTAAGTGAGTGTAATGTTGGATGTGACTTTGTGTTCCATGGAATGTTCGTTCAATGTAAATTCACGTTGTGACGTTTGATATAAACCGTGAGCAAAAATTAAATTGAATGATGTTACAGTTTTAACAGAAACAATTTGAGTGAATTTAGCTTATCATAAATCAACAAAATAATTTTATCATCTCATATTATCAAAGACTAACCAAATGTTTCAACTAGCATTTCGTTGGACATATCAGCACCAAACTCGTTACTGGCCCAACACCTGTACACTCCTGCTAGGACGGGCTCCACCAAGGTTAACGTTGCATTATGTGCTCCATTCTTTATGGAATGATTAGGTAGCAGCCAGTTGTAGCTGTGTTTGTTCAAATTGAGATGCGAAAAATGGGTCCAAATATTAAAAAATAATAAATCAGAATAATTAATAGAATCATTATTTTATTTGCAGCAACAATTTGCTACTTTTGAAGTTGAAATAAAACTGTTCCTTGCTAATTATAAACTGAAAGAAATTTTAGCTGTTGTATTAGACGTTCGAAATAAAGCTGATATGATTAAAAAACACAATTTTGTTTTTTGTTTCATTATACTACTTTTCGTTCTTTTCTTGTTTCTTTGAAATTTATAAGGTTAGTGAAACTACGTCCAACTGAATGTGTTTTCTTGTTGAAAGTGATTTTGCTACGGAACAAGTTTTTACGACTCTGAGAATTTTTGACGACATATCTTTGACTTTCGTGTATACTCGCTCGGTCAGACTCTATGTATCGTAAACGTAAGCCTTATAAATCTTTCTATTATCTTACTTGATTTTAAAATTTTTGATGTTTCTCACAAGTTTCGTGATTGATTGATTGATCGATTGATTGATTGATTGATTGATTGATACACTAATTCTTAAGCGCAACATATTACTGGACCAATATTCATGTTGTTGAATGTATAACTTCATGCTAATTTTAAGAACGAACGTGTGGTTGTCTGTTAATGTACGGAGCCACAAAACTCAAAATTTGGGACAGTATGAGTATAATAGTAAATGAACAAACGTAGGTTATCAATATTAATAGCTCTCAGTTATCGTCCGTCTTGCAGTTGTGAAATTTAAACTTTGGCATTTTTGAGTAATCCGCTAAAACACTTTTCCTTATTTAATGTGCTAATGGTTTAAACTTAAATGTAATGTTTCGAAACCTTTACCCTAACTCTGTCTAGAAAGAAATTTTTTAGTTATAAAATAAAACGTATGTAAAAATTTTTAAACTAAAAGTTTGGTTATAAAAATACAATTTTAACATCAAAAGGTTAATTTGAGAGAAATATTGTTATAGGTTGATTTAATGCATGTACGTACACGTATCACGTTACAAATTACGTGCCTCCGTACAGACTGAAACACGTGACTCATGAATATTAATGTGGTACACTCAAGTAAGGCCACATTTTAAAATGGTACGTTCGACTAAATATCGATCGAGATGTTATGCTGGGCCGCTATTTATATTTATAAACATGGTCACGTCTCAGTGTTCAATCGTTCATAATAGGTAGTCTCAGTTGTGTTAGTGTAGTCTTTGAAATTCATTCTAAAGCAGGAATGAATATTTTACTGTAGCTAAGATACATGGTTGAATTTTGTGAACAATTGCAATGTTTAGAAAATATTAAAGTTTAAGGTGCATATATTTTAAATTTATAACTATTTGCAAATTTACAAATTAAACTCGTAAAATTTTATTCTGTGAAATAATAGTGGCTATAATTTTTATGCTTGAATTGTGCTGCATTTTATGACCGGCCTTAAAAGCCCTGCAAATACTAATTTGTTGAATTAGTTGTTTACAGGTTGTTAACAAATTTACCAAAAAGTTTTTAAGTGCAAAAAGTTGATCTTATTTCAAAATTTCTTAATTGTTGATATCGTAAAAGTTTATAAATTGAATACTTGCCAGATCCTACTGTTTGTGTGTACGGACGATGCTGAATGCACCAAAGATGTCAGAGCAAGAGTCGGCAAAGCTCAAGAGCCATTCCAAAGCATTAAATACACTAAAATTCGCATGCTGCGTACGTTTGTGGTCGGTAGCAATCCATGGTTCGGATGGTTGGACACTGAAAGATGAAGATGAAAAAAGAATTGAAGCATTTGAAATGAATGATTTAAGAAAAATATTGAGGGTGTCAAGGAAAAGGAGAAAAACGAACAAATGGGTTGTAAAAACGACTGGAGTACAACAAAAATTACTGTCTGAAGTCAAAAGGAGGCAATTAAGCTATATTGGTCACATTTTCAAAGAAAGGAAACACCGGTGCATGGAAAAAGATTTAAAACAAGGGACAATGTCCAAATCAAAGCGAAGAGGAAGGCAAAGAAGAAGATGGATCGATGACATAAAGGATTGGACGGATTTTAGAATGGAAGAGTTGCTGAGAAAGACACCGGACATAGTTAACTAGATGCAGCATGTTCCTGATGCAGCCTACCCTCGACCGAGGCTGGTTCAAGACAAGAAGAGACTGCATGCCTTGTTTTGCGCCGTTTTGCATGACTTTGTTTTATATCGTTTTCAGATGTATTAGGTTTGTGTGGCGATCTAAAATGCCATAATTTTTGTTAAAATGCTTACGCAGACAACAACAAAATCTTTACCTCTTGGTAATTGCATAAGTTTTTTCAAATGAAACACATTTTAAAAACAACGCTAGCAATTGAAATCCTCCAATAAATGCCAAGTCTTTGAATGATAAAACTTTAAACACGCACACGCACACATGTTCAATGAAACCGAAACAACGTGCACTCACGTGATGGGCTCTGCCCCGGTGGCCTGGCAGTCCAGTTGGGTGGGGTGGATGCCGTCGTGGAGGGTGGGTGGTGGGTTCTTCTTTAATATCAGTGGAGCTTCCTGAGCCAACATGTCTGCGGAGTGGGTTTCATCAAAAATTATTATTCCGTTTTGTGAAAGTCAAATGAAACTTTCAATGATTCCATCGTAATGAGGATGGTGTCGTCGTTGGCTGACTGACGATGAATTAATCGCTTTATTGAGCATTCTCATTATTGCTCATTCTCGCTGGTTCTCTCTACCGCATCAGTTACTTGTTTGTTTTTTTCAATGAGTTGATATAAAAATAATGCAGTGTTTCCCACACCGTAACAAACGATGTTTGCTGCTGTCTTATTGAAATGACAAGCAATACAATGAGCAATTCGATAAAATTAATTATAACAATGCCGTCTCTGTTAACGTATTCACCGGTAAAATTCTTTTATTGTTATTCAAGCCAACATCATCATCATCGTCATCACCATCATCGTCACCATCATTGTCGTCGTCGTCATCATCGTTACCACCATTTTTCTCTTGTTTGATGAACGAAATAAAACATAAAAGTGAACAACTCATCGTTCATTTGCTGAAGTAGGCAGACGACGAATCTGTGAACAATTAATTAAATTAGCATGACGTTTGTTCAACGATGACTTTCGTGCCTGCTAATTGTAAAACACGACAACGAGCCAATAGACATGACTTCAAGAGGCAACGAACGAACAGTGTGAACATCTTTCAAAAAATAGAACTCCTGGCAGTAGTATTTAAAGAAATTAAACAAAAAACGTACGAACATTTCTGTGGTCTACAAAAACTTAAATCATTTTTCCGATGCTGGTTTTAAAATGACTTCCTCACTCTTCGCAAGTCACTTCAAAGCCGCGCCTGTGAAAAGATGGGAGCCACGTGTGCGATTAATTTAACGTGAGCTTAAACGTCGGTCCCAAACAAACTTCAACAAACAAACTTCAAAACCATTTAACTGCAACAGTCACGCACACGCACTGTCTATCACATTTGGCAAAAAAAATTTGCCCTACAAACACACAACAACCACACACACACACACACACACACACACACACACACACACACACACACACACACACACACACTTACAAGACAACACGCACACGCACACACACCAGATAAAATTGAACACAGAAGAAACACGCTCACAAAAGACAACATACCACACAATCACATTGTTGGTGTAACATAGTGCAAATTGTAAGGAAAATAACAGAATAACACACATTTAATATGACACCACGCATAAACAAACAAACATGAAGCAAAAGATAAAGAAATTAAAAAAACTAGGGTGTGTGAGTCTGTCTGTTTGTGACACTACGTGTTTAATAAGTAAGCACTGCAAAGAGATCTATGGGTGGATTCATGGATTATTTGTTTGTTACTACCGCCATTGACTGTACTTTTTCTTTTTTGACTTTGTTTGACTATAGATAGCGCTTTTGAGAACTTTTTGATTTTTATTAGCGCTTATAAATGTTTCAATAATATATATATATATATATATATATATATATATATATATATATATATATATATAGGAACGAGGCTCTCTTTAATACAAATGTCATTAAAAATGGTTGCCTAGCGTGCGTTTATAATCTTTTATATTAAAACCTCAACACTTCTGAGTTTGTTGAATTCATATTTATTGAGAGGAAAATTATTATTGAGCTTGGCTGACAGTACTGTTTCGGAGTTAACCATCGTCGGAGCCTATTAGATCAAAAACACATAGTCAGAAATGCAAAATTTAAAATAAAATATTAAGTGAAATTTAAGTAAATGAGCAGTTGAATTAGTAAATTAAATATTAATTAAGTTAAAATATGAGAGTAACCTTCGAATATTAATGATATTATATATATATAAGGAAATATAAATGAAATTACCAAGATAATAAAATTACGATAACTGAGAAACGAAATGAAATTATAAAATTGGAAAATAATATAGTAAAGTTAGTATTAAGAAGCAGGTGGACGTATGTGAATGCAAAATATGATGTAATTATGGAAAACCGTTTGATGTGAGAAATTGGTGAGAATTGAAATTATTGAAATTAATGAAATTAAAGGAGATGGAAAAATATTGTAAATTATACGTGAAAATAATGAATTAAAATGAAGTAAAATAATTAAAAGTGAACAATATTAGCATGAAAGATAACATAAAGTGTTAAGAACATGAATCATTCTCGAACAGAGAGGCCAACGGAACCGAACACCGGTTGCACGGCGAAGTCACATTTTCGACGTTGATCATTTTTACATCGTTCGGCGTAGGTTGAAGATCGAAACGCCGAGGTTCGTGGCCAATACCGACAACAACTAGTGTGATGTCATCTCGGTATTGGGAATAGAGATGAAGTGTATGATCGAATTTGTGAAATTGTTTGTTGATGGTAGATTTGTTAGTGTAGAGTAGAGTGCCTCGCGAATCTTAAGGCGCAAAGGATGAGAATCGCGATCGACTATTGTTGTATTGGCATGTAGTACATCCTTAGTAATTTGTATATTATGAGAAATATACATATGGTCCTTGATAGCACCGTTTTGAAGATGTGATGTGAGTCGTCTGGAAAGAGTGGTACGAGTGTAGGCTAATAGGCTCCGACGATGGTTAACTCCGAAACAGTACTGTCAGCCAAGCTCAATAATAATTTTCTTCTCAATAAATATGAATTCAACAAACTTAGAAGTGTTGAGGTTTTAAAAAAAAGATTATAAACGCACGCTGGGCAACCATTTTTAATGACATATATATATATGTGTGTGTGTGTGTGTGTGTGTGTGTGTGTGTGTGTGATAACTAATTAATTTGTTAAAGTGTTAGTTAGTGTATTATTATAACAAGAATGGCGTTGATTTTTCACTTTTCAACAAAAATTCCAAGATGAAGAATAAGGAGGCAAAATGATAAGAAACAACTACTAAATTTTAGAACGGATGTTTGTTTTTTATTTCTAGCACACATTTCATAAAAATTTTGCATTTAAATATTTTGAGGATCAGAATGTTCGTGAATAAAAAAATTCTCTCGGCCCAAACGTTATAGAGGCATGTTGAATCTGACATACAGACACAAAATAATACAGATGATGTCGTGCAATATAACTTCGGTGCACTACTGATGTAATGTAACCCATGTATTTTAATAAAAAAGCTTATAAACTTTAAAGGGATCAAATATTCAACGCTGCTGAAACATCAGCGCACTCTCGTGAGAAAATTTTTGAAATGAATTTCAATAAAAATAAAATATCAATGTTTTCATAGATGGAACTGTGTGCTACCAACCAAATTTGGGAACACCGCATGGAGAAGGTTTCAAATTAATGATGCGTTAACAGACCCTGGCGTTAACAGAAAAATACTTTTGCAATTAACAAACTCTATTGAAAATAATATTTTTTTAGATTTTAGGAACGTTATTAAATCATTTTAATTATATTTTAATATCACCGGCTCCATCGTCATCACCATCATCATCATCGTCATCATCATTATCACCACCATCGTCACCATCATCACCATCATCACATAGTTATAATTTTCATTATGCACATTTCCACCAGAATAAAAATGATTGTTAATATTATGTAAGAATGTTAAGACAGTCAGACAGATGAAGAGACAATCATATAAACGAACGAATGCATAAACAAACGAACGAACAAATGAACAAACGAACAAACTAATAAACGAACGGAAAATCACACAAACAGACAAAAAAACAGACAGACAGCCAAACAAACAAACAATCATACAAAAGACTTACTTGCGACAATTGAACAGAACAATAGGATGACATGAAACAACATATGCATACCTGTGGGGATCGATAAATTATTTTTTATCATTCTTATCATTATTATTAACACAATAACAACAACAACAACAACAACAACAATAATAATAATAATAAAAGTAATATAGTTATTATTAGTAGTTCACATTGGCTGTTAAAATCATCTGTGAATCAGCAAATCACACATTCAAATAAGCGTCATAATGGCTCAGGGGTTGGTGTGGCCAGGTTCCATGTCAGAGCTACTTGGTTTAAATACAAACTTCTCCGAGTAATTTATAATGAACTGTGAAATGAGCTGTTTTGCTTAGACAAATATGCAAAAATGTTTGTTCCAAATTGAAATGAGGTATTGGATGATTAGTTGATTGGATGATTTGTTGATTGGATTATCAGTTGATTGGATGATCAGTTGAATGGATGATCAGTTGATTGGATGATCTGTTGATTAGATGATCAGTTGATTGGATAATTTGTTGATTGGATGATCAGTTGATTGAATGATCAGTTGATTAGATGATCAGTTGATTGGATGATCAGTTGATTGGATGATCAGTTGAATGGATGATCAGTTGATTGGATGATCTGTTGATTAAATGAACGGTTGATTGGGTGATCTGTTAATTGGATGATTTGTTAATTGGATAACTATAAAATTAATAATTATTTTTAGCTGCAATGTGAATCGATTAATAAAAGCACGGAGGAACATGTTCTGTGGCAAATGTTCTTGCCAGATTCCATGTCAGAGCTACTTGGTTCAAATACAAACATCTCCGAGTAATTTATAATGAACTGTGAAATGAGCTGTTTTTCTTGAACAAATATGTTAACATTTATTATTCTAAACATTGGCAACGACATTGCGTTTTTATAAATAAAAAATTGAAATCATCATCGACCACACCACCATCACCACCACTACCACCCCCATCAACCATAACAACAACAACAACAGCATCGTCAACTACAACTTGATATAACTCAGCCCTGAAAAGGAGTCTCAATATTAAGATTACAAGAATTTTTATTTTGAAGTTATTAGTGAGTAGTTCCTCATAACATGTTATCGAGAATAGCACTTCTGACTGATAAATATAATTTAATAATGTCATTCACCAAATTGATATTGATATATGATATATGCTGTGCATGCACCACACAGCAGACTCACACACACACACACACACACACACACACACGCACGCACGCACCCGCTTAGACGCAATATATATATATATATATATATATATATATTTATATTTATATATTTATATATATATATTTATATTTATATATTTACATTTGGTAGAATTTATAGAATATTGTAAAAATTATGGTCTATTACCAACATATTTATCTTTATATATATATATATATATATTTATATATATATATATATATATTTATACATATGCGTATAGGCCATATTTAGATTTTACTCATAATCAGCACTTATAAAGGTATACTAGCAGCCATGAACCGTTCAAAATTAAATTTCACCGTCGAACGCGAAAGTGAAAATTCCTTGCAATTTTTGGATGCTTTGATAACGCATGACGAACAAAGATTTACAACTGCAGTATACGTCAGAGCAACCAATAAAGTTAATTAGCTCGTTTAAATGGGTTAAGTGAATGTACGAAACAATTCAAAGTAAGTACGATAAAATCCTTCGTGTACTGTTCATTCAGGGATCCATCCTCAACCGGGGATCGCAATACAGAGCTGAAAAGAATTACTATCTACTGGTAAGTAACGATTACAAGACGTCATCCATTGAGAGCACCATTCAACGAAGACTGCAGCAAGATAGAAATATATTTGAAAACAACAATGACAACGACTTGATCCTATATTACAGAAATCATATATCAACTGCACATAAAATAGTCGAATTCGTCCTCAAACAAATCATAAAAAGAAATGTTACATCAATCAATGATACTAATAAAATAAAAATTAGGATACACTGCAATAATTGTAAAACATTACAATTAGTCTTAAAGAACAACTGCACTCCTAAAGACGATTCCGCTATGAAGCTTAATCATGTAATATATGAATTTAATCAATCAACACATACAACTCCAATAAACCGCTAAATTCTTGACAACAACAAGAAAAATAATTCACCAAAACACCAACACATTCTAAGAAATACTTTGATAAGCGAGGGAGCTGAATCTTGTGATAGTATGTGCACTGATGCGCTGAACATGGTGCATGAGGAAGTTGTCGAGAATGTTGGTTTAATCATTTCCTCTGTTTGATTCACTTAAAAATGACCTCTCTACAAAATTTTCAAACAAGTTTTTCAATGAATTTCTGAGGAATTTAATTTATTCATCTGGCAGGCCTCTACCTGTTCAACTCATTTGAAAAACATCAGCTCGGGATTCAAACCCAAGCCAAAAAGACTTAAAAACAAACAAATGAAAAATCATTTCATAAAAATTACTCAGCGTGCCAACAAATTTAAAATGACGCAACATGATTTCAGACTAGCGCACCTAGAGTTAATTTTAACTTGAAATGATCTTTCACTAAGTTACATTTTTCTTATAACAGGTCAGCTGTGAGAGTCGAACACCATTGGTAGAGATGTGATTTCATACCTCAAATCATTTTGATTGACAGGTTGTTAACTGCAAGACAATAAATAATTGGACAGTAATATTTTAGAATTTACTTGGAGCTTTATTTGAAAAAATAAAAAACAATTCGATTGTTAAACTTTCTTTACATCCTATTGAATTTGTCACCTGCATTTCCTCATAAATTTGCAAATTTTGTTTGTTAATTATACTTTGAAACTCTTTTTTAAGATTAGAGATTGTTTTTTTATTTTTTCGTTGTCAAAACTTGAAATTTGTCAACGAATCTGCAACTGTTTAAAACGGCAGATGTTGCAAAAACAATTCGTAAAAATTAGTAAAACTGACACGGCCTTAGGCACCTACATAGCCGATCACCGAAATTTCAAACATTATCTTCGAAACATCGCAGTAGCTGTCTGTTGAATTAAGGAAGGCTTAGTGAAGCAGAGTGGCGGATCTAGACAACTTTGACGGGGAGCCCAAAATTTTGATAGTGAAAAGTCCCCCCATAAAATTTTGAACATTTTCGAAATTGAGTGCGCGTTTTTATTAAAGTTATAAATAAATAAATAATTTATATATATATATATATATATATATATATATATATAAACAAAACAAAAGCGCATACTTACACACACACACACACACACACGTGAACAAACAAATACATAAGCAAACAAACGTACAAATTCAATGTATGTATTTATAAATCTATATGTATTATATATACATACGTGCATATTCATGAAATGTTCTAAAGTAAAGTTACTCAAGTTAATCTCAATAGAGGATTTGCAAATAAACATTCAGTGCTTCATTCGATTGTATGTAACAAACCGCCTCCTAATGCTTTCAGATATTAAAGAAAAGAAGAAACATAAGTAAATGATAGACCGGGCCAACGTTAATGTATATTTTCAAACTAATAAGCTCCATTGTTGGTGTGCACGACCATTCAATGCGTCATATTAGTAAGCGTAGGGAGGGAGGTTATTTTTGATTTCTTTTATTGTATGTTTGTGTTTGTTTGTGTTTGTTTGTATGTGTGTGTGTGTGTGTGTGCATGCGCAAGATTTTGCGTGTGTGTGAGCGTGCAGTGTTTGTTAGCCTGTTTATGAGCGTTACAAAAATTCTCTACATGCTATTGTTATTTGATGATTTCAACGTACCTGCTTCGTGGATGGATGGATGGATGGATGAATGGATGGATGGATGGTTGGATGGATGAATGGATAGATGGATGAATGGATGGATGGATGGTTGGATGGATGTATGGATGGATGGATGGATGACACGATCAATCAGACCAACAATGATGTTATTGACAATGATGAAGACGACGATGATGAAAATGATGATGACGATGTAAATGGTGGTAATGATGATGATGATGGAAATTTGGATGGTGATGCGGAAATTGATTTTTTTTGGCAAAACAACTTTGAAAAAAACGTTAATAATTGCACTGTTGATGGTGTTGATGAAGGTCATGATGATGATGATGAGTAAGAGGATGATGATGATGTCAATGATGATGCCGCTACTGCTGCTGCTTATGATGATACTGATGATGATGGCAATATTGACAATGATGACATTGATGATGATTTGATTTGATGATGATATTGACGAGGAAGTCAATCATAATCGATAATCATAATCAATAATAGTCAATCATAATCATAATCGATTTGGTTATGAGGTTCGTAACGAAGATACAATGATGATGAATTTTTCATATTGTCAGTATGCCCTACCGCAAATGCAGCTAAATGAAATTATTGTAATGTGTTAATATACGTTCGCGACGATGTTGTTAAATTCCAGCTCACTTCTTATTGATGTTGAAACCCTCGTTTGAAAACTCTTCTTTTTATTGATCCTTCCTCATCATCGTCTTTTTCTTCCTCATCATCTTCATCATCGTATCGTCATCATCGTCGCCAACATAGTCACCATCATCGTCTTCTTCTTCTTCCTCTTCTTCATTATCGTTATCACCATCATCATCGTCATCATCGTCATAGTGATTGTTGTCATTGTTGTAACTGCTACAAAAATGGGTGATATATGAGCGAACTCAATGCAAGACAAACAAACAAGTTGATCCTCCATGTTCAACGGTGCTTCACTTTTTAAAGTATCTTACTACTGATGATTATTTTATGAAATGCATTAATGTAATTTGAGTTTATTTCAAAACTTTAACGGTTATTCTGTTTTATTTAAAAATTTTTTGAGATCATTTTTTAAGAGAGCCACACTGATGAGATCTGATACTCCACCAACCTGACAACCATCATTCATGTTAATCACGGACACTCGCCACAACCACCAGCAAGTTGGAATAATTTTTCAAACGTATTTCTAATTTATTTTTTCAAGATTTCATTACGTGAACCTTAAAATTAATTGT